GCCTGCCCCTATAAGGTCAAAGGTCACCCCTCCCCCCCCCCCCCCCCCCAATTTCCTTCTTTTCTTCCTAATTTTAGGGGACCCCTCCCCCCCTCCCCCCCCCCCCCCCCCCAAAAAACACAAACCAATCATTAATTACAATAACGTTAATTACAAAGGGGGGGAGGGGTTGGAAGAGTCCAAGGAGGGGGGAGGGGGGGGGAGTCCCCATTATGGGTGCATGGGGGGGGAGGGGGCGCAGAAAGGAGGGGGGGGAGGGGACACACGGACCCCATTTAAAGGGGGGGGGGGATGGGGTATCCCCCTTTTAAGGGTGTCCCCATAGGGGTAAGGGGGTGGGTGTGTCACCCCCCCCCCTTTGTGACGTCACTGTCGGGGGTGTCCCCTTTGTGATGTCACTGGGGGTGTCTCCCCTTTGTGACGTCACTGGGGGGGGTGTCCTCTTTGTGACGTCACTTGGGGGGGTGTCCCCTTTGTGACGTCACTTGGGGGGTGTCTCCCCTTTGTGACGTCACTAGGGTGTGGGTTTCCCCTTTGTGACGTCACTGGGGGGTGTGTGTCCTCTTTGTGACGTCACTTGGGGGGGGTGTCCCCTTTCTGACGTCACTGGGGGGGGTGTCCCCTTTGTGACGTCACTATTGGGTGTGTGTCCCCTTTGTGACATCACTTGGGGGGGGGTGTCTCCCCTTTCTGACGTCACTGGGAGGGGTGTCCCCTTTGTGACGTCACTAGGGGGTGTGTGTCGCCTTTGTGACGTCACTTGGGTGGGGTGTCCCCTTTCTGACGTCACGGGGGGGGCTTTGTGACGTCACTAGGGGGTGTGTGTCCCCTTTGTGACATCACTGGGGGGGGGTGTCTCCCCCTCCTGACGTCACTGGGAGACGGTGTCCCCTTTGTGACGTCACTGGGGGGTGTGTGTGTCCCCTGTGTGACGTCACTGGGGGGGGTGTGTCCTCCCTTTGTGACGTCACTGGGGGGTCCCCTCGGGGGTCCCATCCAGCCCCCGTTGTTGGAGCTGGGCCCGCAGCACCGCGTTCTCGCTCTTGAGCTCCTCCATCTGCGGACAGGGGGCGGGGCTTAGGGGCGAGGAGGGGCGGGGCTTCAAGGGAGGCCACGCCCCCCCCCCTCTTTTCCCCATTCATTCGCTTTAATCAATGGGCAGCCAATGGGGTCTCACCTTTCTCCCTATAGACCCACACACCCCTTCTATGGGTCCCCCCCTTATCCCTATAGCCCCCCACATCCCTTCTATGGGTCCCCCCTTCTCCCCATAGCCCCCCACATCCCTTCTATGGGTCCCCCCTTCTCCCTATAGCCCCCCACATCCCTTCTATGGGTCCCCCCCTTTACCCTATAGCCCCCCACATCCCTTCTATGGGTCCCCCCCTTCTCCCTATAGCCCCCCCACACCCCCCCTATACACAAGCAGGGGGCGTGTCTTAAAGAGGGGGGCGTGGCTTAACGGGATGCGCCGCGTCGTTCCCACGCTCTCCCATTCATGATAATGAATGAACGGAAAGGTGGGGGGGAGGGCGTGGTGTAGTGTAGTGGGAGTGGCTTAGCCAGGGGGGCGTGGCATGGTGTAGCGGGCGTGTCTTAGCCGGGGGGCGTGGCATGGCGTAGTGGGAGTGGCTTATCGAGGAGGGGCGTGGCTTAACGGGAGGCGCCGCGTTGTTCCCACGCTCTCCCATTCATGATAATGAATGAATGGAAAGGTCGGGGGGGGGGCGTGGTGTAGTGTAGTGGGAGTGGCTTAGCCAGGGGGGCGTGGCATGGTGTAGCGGGCGTGTCTTAGCCGGGGGGCGTGGCATGGCGTAGTGGGAGTGTCTTATCGAGGAGGGGCGTGGCTTAACGGGATGCGCCGCGTCGTTCCCACGCTCTCCCATTCATGATAATGAATGAATGGAAAGGTCGGGGGGGGGGCGTGGTGTAGTGTAGTGGGAGTGGCTTAGCCAGGGGGGCGTGGCACGGCGTAGTGGGCGTGTCTTAACGGGGGGGGGGGCGTGGCCTAACAGGAGGCGTGGGCACGCCGTTCCCACGCTCTCCCATTCATGATAATGAATGAATGGAAAGGGAGGGGGCGTGGCGTGGTGGGCGTGTCTTAGCGAGGGGGGCGTGGCATGGTGTAATGGGCGTGTCTTAACGAGGGGGGGCGTGTCTTAACGGGAGGCGCCGCGTCGTTCCCACGCTCTCCCATTCATGATAATGAATGAACGGAAAGGGGGGGGGGCGTGGCGTGGTGTAGTGGGCGTGTCTTAGCGAGGGGGGGCGTGGCTTAACGGGAAGCGCCGCGTCGTTCCCACGCTCTCCCATTCATGATAATGAATGAATGGAAAAGGGGGGGGGGGGGGGCCCCAGATGTAGTGGGCGTGGCTTAACGGGGGGGGCGTGGCTTAACGGGAGGCGTGGGCACGCCGTTCCCACGCTCTCCCATTCATGATAATGAATGAATGGAAAGGGATTGGGAGGGGGGGCGAAGATATATAGGGCGCTCTAGGGCAGGCCCTATAGAGGAGTATTATGGGATGGCTGGGGGGTGTCACCTGCTGCCGGAGGAGGTCGTTGTCCATGTGCAGGCGCTCGGCCTCCTTGAGGGTGTCCTGCAGGCGCTGGTTGCTCTGCCGCAGCTCCCGCACGTAGTCGCAGGCCTTGGAGAGGATCCCCCCCTTGCTCTGCTTTTTTCACCCCCCACACACACACACAAACCCCATAGAAAGAAAGGTAACCCTAGAGGAACAGCGCACTGCCCCATAGACCCTATAGGAGCCACCCCATAGGACCTAGAGGGAGCCTATAGGAACATCCCCTCCCATAGACCCTATAGGATGCCCCCTCCATAGACCCTATAGGATGCTCCCCATAGACCCTATAGGATGCCCCCCCCATAGACCCTATAGGATGCCCCCCATAGACCCTATAGGATGCCCCCTCCATAGAACCTATAGGATGCTCCCCATAGACCCTATAGGATGCCCCCTCCATAGACCCTATAGGATGCCCCCTCCATAGACCCTATAGGATGCCCCCTCCATAGACCCTATAGGATGCTCCCCATAGACCCTATAGGATCCCCCACATAGACCCTATAGGATGCCCCCCATAGACCCTATAGGATCCCCCACATAGACCCTATAGGATGCCCCCTCCATAGACCCTATAGGATGCCCCCCCCATAGACCCTATAGGACCCCCATAGACCCCTATAGACTCCATAGCCCCCATAGACACCCCATAGCCCCCCACAGACCCCATAGCCCCCTTAGCCCCCCATAGCCCCCATAGCCCCCACAGCCCCCATAGCCCCCATAGCCCCTCATAGCCCCCCATAGACCCCCATAGCCCCCATAGACACCCCATAGCCCCCCATAGACCCCATAGCCCCCCATAGCCCCCCATAGACCCCCATAGCCCCCCATAGCCACCCCATAGCCGCCCCATAGCCGCCCCATAGCCCCCATAGCCGCCCTATAGACCCCATAGCCGCCCCATAGCCGCCCCATAGCCCCTCACCGCGCCGCTCTTGCTGGTGTCGGCGCCGCAGTCGGGGATGATCTTGGAGAGCTGCACGATCCAGTTATTGATCTTGTCCCGGCGCCGGCGCTCCACTGCCATGGGGCAGACCCATAGCGGGATATGGGGCAGACCCATAGCGGGACCCATAGCGGGGACCCATAGAGGGGACCCGGGGACCCATAGCGGGGACCCATAGGGGGATATGGGGGGGGACCCATAGAGGGGACCCATAGGGGGATATGGGGGGGGACCCATAGCGGGGACCCATAGGGGGATATGGGGGGGACCCATAGGGGGATATGGGGGGGGACCCATAGGGGGGACCCATAGGGGGACATGGGGTGGGATCCATAGGGGGACATGGGGACACCCATAGGGGAACATAGGGGGGACCCATAGGGCCCCATAGGGAGCCACTGGGAGCCATGGAGGAGCCATTGGGATCAATAGGGAGCCATGGGGAGCCATAGGGGTCCATAGGGGTCCATATGGGGGCCATAGGGAGCCATGGGGAGAGCCATAGGGACACCCATAGGGAGACATAGGGGTCCATATGGGGGTCTACAGGGGTCCATATGGGGTCTATAGGGATCCACAGGGGTCCATATGGGGTCTATAGGGATCCATAGGGGTCCATATGGGGTCTATAGGGGTCCATAGGGATCCATAGGGGGCCTATAGGGATCCATAGGGGTTATAAGGGGTCTATAGGGATCCATAGGGGTCCATAGGGGGCCTATAGGGATCCATAGGGGTCCATAGGGGGGTCTATAGGAAACCATAGGGGTCCATATGGGGGCCATAGGGACCCATAGGGATCTATATGGGGTCCATAGGGGGTCTATAGAGATCCATAGGGGGTCCATAGGGATCCATAGGGGCCCATATGGGGTCTATAGGGGCCCATAGGGGGTCTATAGTGATCCATAGGCGTCCATAT